TTATATATATATATATATATATATATATATATATATATATACTTCCGTGCTGGAAGCTACTGTGCTTTTTGCTAGAAATTGGAAAGCAAGTGTAGCTTTCCTTTGGGATGACATGTGCCACAGGCAGTAAACTTTTTCGTGAACTGTCTCGCGTTGTGGTACGGCGGCAAGCTGGTGGCTGAAGAGGGTGTGAAATCCGAAGGTGGGTTTTAAAAAGTTAGAAAATGTTCAGAACGCTGGAATTCTTCTTGAAAGATTTTCAAGAATCTGCATGCACTTCGGGTGTGAACTGTTTCTGAAGGTCCAGTGGTCACTCAGACAATCTCGCAATGACTTTGGGGTCCCGTGCGTTGGACAAACTGTTCTTTTCATAATTGACTTGGTTTTGTGCATTCTTTTTGAATAATTCTAAAGAATGTGCACTCATTTTGCGTGTGAACTGTTTCTGAAGGTCCAGTGATCACGCAGACAATCTTCACAAACTGTTCTTTTCATAATTGACTTGGTTTTGTGCATTCTTTTTGAATATTTCTGAAGAATGTGCACTAAATTTGCGTGTGAACTGTTTCTGGTGGTCCAGTGATCACGCAGACAATCTTCGCGCTTACTTTCGCGGTCTCATCCGTTGGACAAACTGTTCTGTTCACAACGGATTCGGGGAAAGCGACGGCTGCGGGTCGCCGTGTGTACGGCTTAATAGACCGAGTGAGTTTCAGTTTTTGTTTTTTTTAGAATTTGTCTCGACTGGGAAAAGTCCAGAATATGAATTTGTCTCAGTCTTGAAATGCACAATTTTCCGAAAATGTTGGGCTGGCCGTTGCTGCTACTCAGCCCTCCGAGATCGACGTGCGCGACTCGGGAGGAAAAGTCTTAAGCCACGAGACATTTAAGGGAGTTATAGATGTTGACCGCATCAACTTCACTTACCCCACGAGACCCGACAATAGAGTGAGTTGGAGCTGCTGCTGATTTCGCAATTCTCTGGTCTAACAGGCAGCAAACTTATCCTCGTTGAGAGTTTACTTTACTCTAATATGCAGCAAATTAACCCCTATTTGGGAGATTAGTTTGTTCTGAAAAGCAGCAGAGTAATATCCTTTCGGAAGATTAATGTGCTGCTTCTGCTGCTGCAGCAGCGAACAGTAACTGCTAGCAAGTGAAGGGTTTTCGGTCCTTTTTTGCACAATCGCAGGTATACAGAAATCTCACATTCTCCATTAAGGAAGGCGAAGCTGTTGCTTTAGTCGGGGCTTCGGGGTGTGGAAAGTCAACCATTGTGCAGCTGGTGGTAAGTTGAATTCCGCGGACTTTGCTGCTGTCGAGAAGGAGGATTCAGCCACAAGGCTTCAGATCCTGGAGAATAACTTACATTTTTTCGATTTAAATTTGAATATATTGGCATATTTGCATTTGTTTCGCGACAGGAACGTTTTTATGACTTGAAAAGCACCTACAAAGTCAAGCCGACATCTCAGTCAGAGCAGGAGGAGCCGAACAAAGGTGTTGAACGCGTGCACATCAGCGAGGGGAGGATTCTGCTGGACGGCGATGACCTTCGCGAACTTAATGTTGTGTAAGTGGCCGCAATTTAATAATTTAACTTATTTTTCGTGCTGAAAATGAGCACCCTGAAAGATTTGACCCCAGTGCTTGGGTTTTCAGGGTTTAGGGTTTAGGGTTTAGGGTTTTGGCGTTCAGGGTTTAACGCAGAGGGCTTAGCGCTTAGCGCTGAGGGTTTAGGGTTTTCGAGTTTAGGGTTTTGCGGTTCAGGATTTTGTGCTTTGCCATGTGGCTTCCGCAGGTCAGTCCGCCAGCAGGAGGGTCTGGTTAGCCAAGAACCTGTTCTTTTTGACATGACAATTGAAGAAAACATTGCGATATCCAAGCCAGGGGCCACTCAGGTACATGAGGTTTCAAATGCAAGAAGTTTCTGAGTAATGCAGGAAATGCAAACAGTATTGTGGTGCTGTGTTTCCGTGGCTGTTGGCTTTCTGAAGACGAAACGACATTCATTCTTTGCCGGAGTTTTCCCAGTGCAGCGATTTCCGGTTCTTATTGCATGTGGCGGAGCTTTTGCTGCTCGCAGAATTCATTTTGCTGCTTCTCTTGTGCTGCAGGAGGAAATTCGGGAGGCGGCGAAGCTCGCGAATGCTGCTGGATTCATTTCAACTTTCCCCGACGGTTACAACACCAATGTGGGATCAGGTGGAGCGCAGCTATCTGGAGGGCAGAAACAACGGATTGCAATTGCAAGGTGTGTTCTTTTTTGGAAATACTTCTCGAAATTGTGTTTATTGTTGCTTTTTGTGCTTCCCTTCTACCTAAAGCAGCCCAGCTGCAAGCTGGAAAGCTGAATCCCAGGCAAACAGGTCTTCTGTCGACGGGCTGGTTTCTTCAGAGCGCTCATCAGAAAGCCTCGTCTTCTTATTTTAGATGAGGCCACATCTGCACTGGATGCGGAAAGCGAAAAGATAGTGCAGCAGACGATTGACGAGCTGCTGGCTGCGGAGAAGCGCAGCACGATCATAATTGCCCACAGGCTGTCCACTGTTCGCAACGCCGGTGAGTGCGTTTCTCGTGGAATCTTCATAAAAACTGAACCATTTGGCATTAAAATTGCATTTTAATGGAAATTAAAAGCCTTTCGAAGCTCTTTAGAGCCTAAGTGCGCGTCGAGGCTGCTGCATTCAGACAAAATCGTGGTTCTGACGAACGAAGACAAGCGCGGAAGCCGCGTCGCGGAAGTGGGAACTCACGACGAACTGATGCAAATCAAAGGCGGATTGTACAGAACTCTCGTTGGACTTGCCAACATTCGTTCCGAGTGACTGCTTGAGGCAGTTTGTATACAGAACTAGCGAAGCTGCACAGCGCGAGTAAAGTATGTGATCTGCTGCGCCCTCGCGGCGCTGCACGGCGGCCCAGCTGCCCCAAAACTCCGCATTTTTGTTTCCTAAAGTTGCAAAATGCGGCCAACTGCAGCTTCTCTTCACTCCGCACAGCAAGACTTGTTCTGCCAGCAGCTCCTCTCCAGCGTGGGCTCTCCTTGTGAAGTTTCCCCAGCGTTCTCGAGAGCCTTTTGCTGCAGCGGCCGCGCAGGCCGCTGCAGCAGCAGCTTTAGCTTTTGCAGCTTTCCGCAAAAGTGAATGTTGAATCGTCAAACTTTAACAACTGCCATCGGATCTGCCTTTTCGAAACGCATGCAACTCTCTTAGTGCAGCAAGCCTTAGTGGCTGCCTTGCTAGGAAGTGCAGCAACTTTTCTAACAAAGAAACTCCAGATCTCTCTAGAATGCAACAAGTCCTGCAGCCGCAGCCCCCCGACCCACAAAATTTGTGCCAAATTGGCACACAAGTCATTTGTTTTTGTATGGAGCGCTTCCCAGGCGCAGAGTTGTGCACAAGTTGGTTCAGCTGGCTGCAGCGCTGCAGAGCAAAGAGTTTGCACTTGTGTCTGGAAAGCGGAATGCAGTGAAGATCTGGCTTTCCCCAGCGAACTGTGGCGGCCACTTTTTCTTTTTTCTCTTTTTCCTTTTCGTTTTCAAGTCTGCAGCTGCGCGAGCCTCTGCGGGAAGCTGCGGGCGCCCCTCACGCGCCCCGGTAACTGCCGAAACCGGAGGGCGCAGTCTAAAGCTCTTCTTTCTTTGTGTCCGGCTTTTTCGCATCTTCTTTTGCCTCTTTTCTGTCCACAAACTTCGGCACTTTTGCCTGAGGCACAATCTTGAATCGCGCATCTCCACTTGAGATGGTTCCCAGCATTTTCCGGATGTGCGGCTTCGTCGCCTGCGCACATGTGCACGCAAACCTCGACCACCACATAAACATTAACTGAGTTCTTCCAAAGATAAAATCCCCTCAAAAATATCAAATTGAACTCTTTTAAGGACTCCAGAGTGTCTCGACAGCACCCCCCAGCCCCCGCGATTCAGAAATGCCTTCGCTGCACAAGAAAGCTGCAGCCGATCCGCTGCGAAGCTCCTCACCGGCAAGTCGGCTGCGAGCTTCAGAAAGCGAACTTTCTTGTGCGGATTAACTGCGACGACAGTGGGGGTGTTTTTGATGTCGAAGAGCTCAGCCCATTCGGTTTCCGTGTCGAGGTCGATCCACATGAAGCGGAAGTCCGGCCCCTTGTCTTGGTGGCCCTCGTAGTCTTCCTTCAGCGACTCCATCATTTCCTGCTCCTCAGTGGTCAACTGCCGCCCCCTCTTCGCCAGCATCACGCAAACGAACTTGTTGCTTTTCTTGAAGCAGATGTCTTGGCTGGACTGTTTGGTCAGTTCCGGAACCGGTTCAACTTTCCTGAATCCGCGCGGAAAGCGGCAGAACTTGAGCGCGAACGCCGCTAAAAAGAAAGAAAACTCTTTATTATTGTTATTTTAAACAATAAGGATGCTAATTAACTGAAGTTGAGAATGAATCGAGCTTCCGAAGTGAGAGAAACCCACCAAGGCTGCAGCTCCGGGTCGATTTCAGCGGGAGGCGCAGTGTCTGAGAAGCCGCCGCCCATGACGAAAGTTTCGGAGAAGACATTCAGCCAGTCGAAAAGCTTTTGAAATTCAAAAGCGCCTTTATAAACTTCATCTTTTTTGTCTTTTCTCACGACCACCAAGTGCGGAAAGCTGGTCACTTTGTACTTCTTCACGGCCTCAGGAAACGCGTCTTTGTTCAGCAACACGAAGGCCAGCTTGTCCTGAAGCAAGCAGCAGCAAGTCAAAACAAGTTCATTCCGCGGCAAACAAATAATACTTCTGAATTTACTTTTGAATATTCCTTCAAACTTTTACTTTTGAATATTCTTTCAAACTTAATTTCGCTCCAGAATCACACCAATGACGACGGCAAAGCTCCAGCAAAGGCAGCAAAAATTGTGCAAAAAATGGCAAGACTTGTGCGGAAAAAGGCAGAAAATGCGCAGAAAAAGGCAAAACTTGTTCAAAAACTGGAAAACTTTGCCTAGAAAATGGAAAGACTTGCTGGAAAAAGGCAAAACTTGTTTAGAAAGTGGCAAGTTGGACTGGAAAGTGGCAGTTTGGGAGAAGTGGCGGACCTTGAAGGCGTTGCTGAGGGCCTTGAGGAGAATGGAGGGCTTGGTGAGTTTGTCGGAAAAGAAAAGAGCTTTTGGCATTTGAACAGTCGAGGCAATGAGGGCCTCGAGCTCTTTTTGGTTCGCCACGGACTTCACATTCGAAGGAATCAAAGGCCGCACCGCCTTCGACAAACTCTCCACGTCTTTCGGGCCCTAAGCGCAGCAGCAGCACCGCAAGCAGCAGCAGCAGCTGCAGCAGCAGCTGCAGCAGCAACAGCAGCAGCAGCACTTGCTGCAGCAGCCACCAGCAGCAACTGCAGGAGCAGCAGAAGCTGCAGCAGCCACCAGCAGCAACAACAGTAGCAGCAGCAGTAGCTGCAGCAGCTGCAGCTTTGCAGCAGCAACTCTGCTGCAGCAGCTGCAGCAGCAACTCTCTTGCACGAAGCCACTGCAGCAGCAAGCTCGGCAAGAGGCCATACAAGTCCAGACTTAACTTGAACTCGAATTAAAATTTAATTGAAATTCAATTAAAATTTAATTAAAATTTAATTAAAATTTAATTAAAACTTAATTTAACTTGAACTAAAATTTAAATAAACTTGAATTAAAATCTGAAATTCAACTTGAACTAACATTGAACTAACTTGAACTAAACTTCACTAAAATTCAATTGAACTTGAACTTAATTTGAATTAAAATTTAATTACACTTCAACGAAAATTAAATTGAACATGAATTGAACTTGAATTAAAATCTAATTGAGCTTCAATCAAACTCCGATTAAAATTAAGTTAAACTTGAATTGAAATTCAATTAAACTTGAATTAAAGTTTCACTAAATTAAAATGAATTAAAATTGATTAATTTTGGATTAAACTTGAATTAAACTTTTATTGAAATTGAATTGGAGTTGAATTGGATTTAAACTCAACTTGAACAAAACTTGAATTAAATTTGAAGTTGAAAATAATCAGAAAAGAATTAAAAAACGAATTCCACTTAACTCCAACTTGAATGAAACTTGAATTAAAACAGAATTAAAAACGAATTAAATGGAATTAAAGTTGAATTGAAATGGACTTGGACAAAACTTGAATTAAATTTGAATTGAAAAAGAATTAAAAACAAATTGAAAACGAATTAAAACACAATTGAAACTGACTTCGAGTTGAATTGGACTCAAATGCACAGAACTTGAATTAAATTAAACAAAACAAAATCAAAAAGGAATTAAAAGAATTAAAGTGAAACTGAAGTTCAAAATCAAAAAAGAATTAAAAGAATAAAAGTGAAACTGAAGTTCACTTGGAGTTGAATTCGACTTGAATTCAACTGAGACCGAACTTGAACTCAAAAAGGCTTAACAGCGAATTAAAATGAAACAAAATAAATAATAAAATTAAAAATGAAACAAAAAAATAATAAAACTAAAAGATGAAACAAAAAATAATAAAACTAAAAAGTGAAACAAAACAAATAATAAGAACTAAACAAGAAATGAAGAAGAACCAAATAAGAACTAAATAAGAACAAAAGGAGAACCAAATAAGAACTAAAGAAGAACCAAATAAGAACTAAAGAAGAACTAAATAAGAACTGAATAATAAGAACTAAATAGAACAAAAGAACAACAAAATAAGAACTGAATAAGAACTGCAGAAGAACCAAATAAGAACCAAATAAGAACCAAATAAGAACTGAATAATAAGAACTAAATAGAACAAAAGAACAACTAAATAAGAACTAAATAAGAACCAAATAAGAACTAAATAAGAACTAAATAATAAGAGCTAAATAAGAACTAAAAGGCGCATTGGTGGGAATCGAACCCCCCACCTGGTAGGCGAACTGGGGAAGTGGAAAAGGGGGGAAAATGACGATTTGGGGGAGGGGCTGTTGGGCGTGTTCTTTGCAGAGTTTTGAATTGTGAGAACAGTCGACAGCGAGGACTTGAACGAAGCCTTTCATTTTTTTGGCGAAGTGTTCGTACACCTCAACGAGGGCTGGGGTGTCTGCGGAACTCGGGTCGAAAAACAAAACTGCAAACACAGAACTGTCCCGAAACTTGAGGACTTTGCCGCTCCAAGTGGCCTCGGACACGAGCCCGATGGAGTGCTGCATGGGGTCGATCAGCGGCCGCGCTGCTGCTGCTTGCTGCTGCTGCAGCAGCAGCAGCAGCAGCAGCAGCGGCGCTGCAGCAGCGGCGAAGCTGCGCAGCAAACTTCGCTTTCCTAAGCCAACGCCCAAAGCCATCTTCAAACTTCTGCGACAAGTCCAAGTGGAAAGCTGCGGCCTGCCTCTGGCCTCTCCCGGCTTTGGCTCGCCTCCGCGCTCAAGTCTTTGCAACTCTTCAAAAGAAAAGAAAGTCCACGCAGGCCTGCTGCTGCTGCTGCTGCTGCTGCTGCTGCTGCCGCTGCTGCTGCTGCTGCTGTTCGCTCAGGGGGCGCAGGGGGCTGCACGCCGCCGCTGGGACTGCGACTTCTCTCGAACTCCGCCGCCTCTCGACTTCAAGTCTTTTCCCTTTTCTCCTTTTCTTGCAAATTCAAAACTCGCTGCTGCTTTCTTTACCACCGCCGGCCCCGCGTCGCAGTCACTCCCCGAAACCCCGACTCGCGCGGGAGCCCCGACGCCCGCAACCCGCCCTCGGGCGCCTCCTTTTCTTCCCCTTTCCTCTTCAAATGGTATTTTTTTGCAAATATTTCTTCCACTTTGAAAAAAAACCAAAAAGAACCCGCGTCTTCGCTGCCGCGCCGGCGACTCGCTTCCCACCGACTCCGGGGAAGCGCTGCCCGCAGCACTTCCCCGGAAACCGCCGGAACCCTCCAACTTTCCACGTCTTGCGCTTTTTAAACACAAAATAAACTTCTTTTTGTTCTTTTCGAAAGCTTCGCAATTATAAAACTGCCGCTTTCTCCCCCGCGGCCTCCCGCCAGTTCTGCACAACCAAACTGGAGCGGCTGCGGACGAATGGGGTGTACGTACACCTCAACTCTTGTTCAAAAAGAGTGGAAAGCTCGCCAAAGTAGCCTTTTGGCCATTTAAAAAGATTTAAATTGCTGCTGCTCGTCTTTAGAGGGCTCAGTGCATGCATTCAGAGGCCAGAACAGCGCTCAGCGACAGCTACAAGACACTGCAACTCTGCAACAATTTCGAGACTAAGTGCCTTTTCTTTGCTGCTGCTGGGGGCCCTCAGCAGCAGCAAAAGGGCTGAGTTGAAATCTTTTAGTTTAGTTTGCCTTTTAAAGCCTCGGGAGCTCTCACAGTTCATGTGTATCTACAGTTGAAGTCGGGGAGCTTTTAAATTCCAATTTGGAGTTCACTTTTGCGATTTTATATTTCTAATTTAACTCCAGGATCGAGGGTTTAGGGTTTAGGGTTTAGGGTTTATCTTCTTGTCGAAAAGTTAAAACTGAATTCGGATTCTTCCAAAGTTTGCAATTGCCGTCTGAGCAGATGCCTCTCAGACTCTGTTCGCAACTTACTCGCTAGCTAGCTACCTGGCTAGCTAGCTAGCTAGCTAGCTAGCTAGCTGGCTAGCTAGCTAACCAACTAGCTAACTAACTGGCTAGCGAGCTAGCTAGCTAGCTGGCTTGCGCTGACTCCCCAGTAAGTAGGAGTGGAGTGTTTGTGACTCCAAATAAAACAAAATAAATTTTATGAATTCCAAGTTGTGAAATCCAAATTAAAATTTAGGAGCTTTTCGACTTGAGCTGTAAGTACAGATCGGTTGCAATTAATTGTTTAAAAAGTGGAAACAGCGGATTAATAGGCGGACGAACAGCCAGCTAGCTAGCTGCAGTTAGCTGGCCGTTTGTACACAGAGCTGGCTAGCTGGCCAGCTTGCCAGCTAGCGAGACACGATACAAATCCCAGGGGTGGCTAGCTAGGCTGCTTTGCTTATATGAAATGAATAAAAAATTGCTTTTTTAGACGGAGTTCTTTGTTTGCAAGAGCCCCATTGGGCGCAGCTTCTTGCCCTTGTTTGGTTTATAATTCTTTTTTGGATTTTGCAAGAGAAACAAAAAAGAATTCAAAGACAGAAAAGTGTGCGGAGAGAGAGCTGGAGGCGTCAAGTGCTCGCTGGCCTCGATCTGCTGCCAAGAAGGCGGGAGGGCGTTCAAATGCGGAAAGAAAAGAAGAGGTTAATTAAAAATGAAAAGAAATAAAGGCGGAACTTGGCTCTGTGCGCCGCTGCGGAAGTTTGGGGTGTATGTACACCGGAGCTGCATGCGCCCCCGGCGCCATTTCCCAAGATGGCAGCGACAAAACTGAGACGGACAAGAAAATAAGAAGTGAAGTGGAATTGAAGTTCCTATTTGGTTTCTTTTTGCGTATTTTTAATGTTTTATGAGGCGAAGTGGCCAGGTTTTAGCGGGGCTTCCGTGGGCGGCTGCGGCGTTGGGGTGTACATACACACCGCTGGCGTGTGCGCTTTTCTGCGATTTGCGCTTTTAATTAGACGAATTAAAAGTTATTTTGCGGAAGCAAATTGAATTTGCGGTGTGGCGGCGGGCGCTGGGTTTTTTTTGCGGGTTTTTTTTTCGCGCGGAAAAGTTGCACAAAAAGCTGAATCGGGCTGGAAAATCGGAGTTTCTTTCGGATTTTTTGTCGAAAAGACTTCAAAAAGTCGATTTAGTGTTTATTTTTTGCTTTTAAAAGACAAATCGCGTCGAAAATGGCCGCCGACGACCACTCGGGCTGGTGTTTGATCGAAAGCGACCCCGGGGTGTTTTCGGAGCTCGTGGAACTGCTCGGAGTCCGCGGTGTCGCCTTCGCTGAGGTGTACGGACTCGACAAGGAGGCCTTCCAAGCCCTCGAGGCCGAGGGCTCTCACAGAAAAGTTTTGGGATTTATTTTTCTCTTCAACTGGGGCAAAGACAAACTCCGCCGCAGCAGCGGCCAACCCCGCGCCCCAGCGGACTCCCAACCGCCCCCAGACCTTTTCTTCGCTGCCCAGGTGAAGGGGCCTTCCAAC